TGTGATGGAAAGAAAGTAGGCAATGCACCCAGGGCCTTCTGGAACATCAAATGCTCCCCTGCCAGCCTGCAGCCATCCCTGCTAGACATGACTGTAGATGAAGCTTTGGAGATCTGCATGCATACAGGAGGTACCCAGAGGTGCTATCACTTATCCTTAACCCCCTCCTGGGGTAGGGGTGTTCACAGCCTGTAGGACCACCACCAGAATTCAAGGGCTCCTGAATGATGGGAGTCACCTGCCATCCCCCGTATCCTCTGGTTACCTACCAACTTGGCATTGACTCTTCTGTGGCAGAATATGTAGTCAGTGGTCGCAGTTCTCCCTGCCAGCCTTACAGCTTCTTGGGAAATCCAAAGGAATAAGATCCCAGATCTCACCATGTATAGATATAACCTAGAACCTCTGCTCGGATGAAGCCTGTGGTAACTCAGTAACCAATTGGTTTCCCATAGTAAGGAGAACAGGGACTATTTCTGACAGGAACTCAATGGCAGGCTCTTTGACCTCCCCCCCCCCCCCAAGAGAGGAGCAGTCCTGCTAAGCCACAGAAGAGGACTTTGTAGCCGGTCCTGAAGATACCTGATAAAACAGGGTCAGATGGAAGGGGAGGAGGTCCTCCCCAATCAGTGGACTTGGAAAGGGGCAGGGAGGAGATGAGGAAAGGAGGGTGGGATTGGGAGGGAATGAGGGAGCGGGATACAGCTGGGATACGGAGTTAATAAAATGTAACTAATAATAATAATTATTAGTAAATAAAAAAAGAAAGAAAAAGATCCCAGATCTCAAGGCATATGTCCATAGGAGCCAAGAAGATCACAACCCAGAGGCTTCCAGCCGCTGATACACACCTGTTCTTCCATTCTGGTGGGGGTGGGTCTCATGAACAACAACAATAGCATAGCTAGAGGCAGATAACCTACCCAGGCAGCCTCCCCAAGCACTTGTCCTAAGATTCCATCACCCAAGAAGACTTGTGTTCCTTGGAGGACTCCACAGTGAGCCTCCAGACCTTTTCTGGACCCATCAGAGACTGCCAGTGGAGCTATAGCATCTTAATTCCAGGGAGTGACGAACAGGGGACATTGTGTCAACCACAGAAGGTGCAGAGCATCATGGAGACCTATCTAGCTTTTGTGTAGGACCAACCACAGCTACAGTTTGGGCTCCCAAACAAGTGTGTGAAGTAGGTGCAAAGGAAGATGGTGGGAGAGTAGCAGGAGGATGTAGAGCAGGGCTCTTCTCCGTAGGGTGTTGGGAGCTACTCCAAGCTGACTGAAGGATGTAGAAACTTTTTTTTTTTTAAGAGTTGAGTAAGTCTCCAGGCAGTGGTGGCACATGCCTGTAATCCCAACACTCCGGAGGCAGAGGTAGGTGGATTTCTGTGAGTTCGAGATTAGCCTGGTCTTAAAAAGCAAGTTCTAGGACAGCCTGGACTATGCAGAAAAATCCTATTTTGAAAAGAAAGAAAAGAAAAAGAAGACCTAAGAGTTGAGTAAACCACAGTGCTCCCCAGGACCAGCTTACCCTCACCCCTAAACACCTAGCAATCCAATCTAGGTCAACTCCAGTACAGTACACAACATATCTTGCTGAGTATCCCTGATACTCAGAAAGGTGAAGGAGAAGTTCTGCTTCATCTCCAGTTCTAGAGTCAGGAGGAGAGAAGCAAGCTACAAAGCCTCCCTACTGTGCTGTCTGGGAGTACATCTCAAACCTTGGCAGAGAGGTCAGCACAACCTAGGGGCGGTTATGTCAGTGACCCTGACCAGGACATCTACCTCTGGCTGTCTGCTCTCTAAACCCACCACCGACCTTCAGATCCCCCCTGTTACAGTCAGAGAGAGTCAAGAAACCCCAACATCCAGGCTCTAACGCCACCAGAACATAGCCCCAGCTTTGGAAACTCCTGAGATTCTTTATAAGGAACCCAGAGCCCACTATGGCCTCAGCTGTCAAACCAGAAAAGTTGAGCCCCCAATTCTTCCTCTCACTATCATTTCTCCCCTCCTTTTCCTTTCCTTTTCACAGAAGCAGAGAGGTCCCAAGCTCCAAAACCAACAACACATTTTCAAGCCCTGGTTCTATCATCGGGTGTCTGTGTGACCCTGAATGACTCACTTAACCTCTCTGAGACTCAGTTGTGTCATACTGTCACGCTAATGATGGGAACACCTGACATGGTTATGGAGAAGGAAGGAAATGACCTCTGAAGGCAACCTGTCACTGTGTCTGGCAAATAATAGGTTCTTAATTATCAGGCTTTCTCTGCCAAATAGCTCCTCATCCTGTCCTGCTCTCTATCCCTGGTCTGAAAACACACCTTAGGGTACACACTGGTTTCTGCCAGCAAGGAGGTGCCTGTGGGGCAGCAAGGACATATTTCTGGCCAGCTGGTGGCCTTTCTGGGCGCTTACCAAGTCCCACCCTGTGCTTGAGTGTCTCTACACACAAGGCGAATTTTGGAATCTGTGAAAAGTTTGGCTGCTCCTGTTTGTGAAAATAGTAGCGCCTGCCTTGGAGTTGGCGGGAAGAGGGCAGCCAGGTGTTCTCCCCAGAGTTCCACAAGTTATCCCACTGTACCCCCCAACCCAGCCTCCTCCTAACCAGAACTGGTTCCTGCCTGACGCCCTCCCTGCCCCCATCCTGGAACATCTGGTTCTAATCTTCTCCAGATGCTGCGGCCACACTTTTATGGGTAATCACCTCAGCTCGGCTTCCTAAATCAGGCTTCTCTCCATTTCAGGGTACAGTCCCTCTTTGTCCCTTTCCTTGGGACCTCAGCTACCTCTTTTCCTAACATGACAGAGACCACAAACAGAAGGCAGAGGAAATTCTGAAGCCCTTGGAACTGACCTTCTGCCATCTCCACTCTAGCTGGCAAAACTCTTTTCCACCAAGGACTGAGAGTATAGATACTAGCCAGGGGGGAAAGGAAGTAGAGAGGTTGGGTGGACAGCAGTGCAGAGGAGAATGTGGGGGTCATGTGTGCTTTTGGGGGAAATGGCTAGGTCTCCATATTTGTGCCTGTACAGTGGGAACCCAAGCCTAGCCTTCAGTTCCCTTTATAGTCAGCACTGCAAACAAACCCAGGTCCTTCAGCTACAGTCTGCCTTGGACCTCACCGTGGGCCTCCTCTGCTTCCTCCAAGGCCAGCCCAAGGGAAGGTTTGTGTGCTCCTCTATGGATGATGTGTATGTAGTATACATCTCCTCTTCTGGGTCAGATTAGACCCTAAGCATGAAAGAGCAGCAGCACAGCCTGTAATGAGACCTGTGACACTTGTCTCTCTGACAGGTACTTCCAGTCCAAGGATGGTCATGTGCTGGGAAGGCCCATCCAGATGGAGAAAGAGGCAGGCTTACTTCCGTTCTCCACCCTTGTCCCCTAGAATGAGGACTGAGAGCCAGTCAGTCACTTCCCACCCTTTAATTCTGTGCTCATTGCTACCCACTCCTTTAAAAATAAGCCTCTGGGAAATTTGTGACTCTACAGCCCCCCCTGGCGTCATTCGGAAACTAGGCAATTGGTCTGTTAGCTTGGTAGAGCCACTGTGTGGGAGATGGGTCGGTCCTGCCTCTGTCTAGCTGTCCCATACATAGACTGACACCCTCTAGAGGAGGCAGCCTCGGGGCGCGCTGAATGGAAGATTCCTGTTTCTGAATTGGCATAGACACGCGCAGCCTTGAAACGTTGTGCCTCGGTTTCTGGCACGTGAGGCAGGCATAATACCAGACCATGCAGACTGACGTAGCTCCTGTGTGGAAGGGGCTACCTGTGCAGGCTCTCAGCGGGGGTGGTGAACTGCCCTTCAGTTTCCCTTTATCCCAAGCGACCATGCCCCGTGACACATGTAAACCTGGCCCTGACTCAGGCAGTGTTGGTAAGGTGCCTCTGACAGTTCTGGAACATTTTTCACTGCAGCTGAGAACCATTTTAATAAGCCTATAATAATAGGCTCAGAGGTGACTCAGATCTGCAAGTGAGGAGTCCTGCCAGGGAGGAGGGGACACAGGGCTCTTGGAGAGGAAAATCCAGTGGCATCTGGGTCTGTGCCATGGCAGGCTGTGGCTGCAGGGAGGACTCGAGGGGCCCAGGGATCTTAGGCACACATCCCAAAGAGGCTTCCCAAGACACCTCGGTGCCACATCTCTGAAGCACAGGGTGGGACCAGATGTTCTCCAAAGTCTCTTGCACAGGTAAAGCTGTGCTTTTGTATTCTGAGCCCTGCCGTCCACAGGGGCATGTCCAGGTGGCTTCATGCGGTATCTCCGTGTGAGCTCTCTGACGGACAGAGCAACTCAGCCACTCCATCCATCTCTCCTCAATCAGAGACACTACTTCTGCCTATGCCCCAAACCCAAAGTCCACGCCAAAACTCAACTCCCACAATGATAGGCTTAGGAATCATTGCCTTTCACAGGGGGTGGAGCCTTATGAAAGAGGGTGGGGGGTGGGCTGAGATACAGCTCAGTAGAGTGCTTGTCTAGCAGGCAAAAAGCCCTGGGTTCGATCCCCAGCTTCATGTAAACCAGGTGTGGCAGTCCATGTCTGTAATCCCAGTAGTTCATCTCACATAGGGAGTTGGAGGCTAGACCTGACTAGAAACCCTAGCTTTTAAGAAGATAGAGAGATGGCTCAGCGGTTCACGGCACTGGCTACTCTTCCAGAGGACCCAGGTTCAAATCTCAGCACCTACATGGTGGCTCACAGTGACTTCTTCTGGCTAAGTACCAGGCATGCACATGATGTACTGACATAAAATTAAAAAAAAAAATTAAGGCTCAGGAAACTTATTCACCCCATCCATCCTGGCGGAGGTGTGGCACACACAGAAAGAAGTCAGAGGAGGTTTTATCTATGTGTCAGAAAGCAGCATCTCCCTAGACAACCTAAGATACTTCAGTGTTAATAGTTCTCAATGGTGAGAGCCGTGAGCATTTGTAAGTTTGTGCATTTCACTGTAGCTGCTTAGATGGACCAAGACAGACAGAGCCTTTGGGCCATGGTGGTTTATTGATGCACAGGGCAAGCACAGCACAGGAGGATTGTGCCCCACCCAGGGACAGAGGAGTAGGCAGTAGGCCACGCCCAATAGCAATGCCAGCAGCACAGGGGAAGGGCCTTGGAGGGTCAAATCCTCTTCTCTACACATTTCCCCGGGATCCCAGACCTCCTCGTCCATCCCAAGCGAGGTACTTGACTGTCTACAAGCCCTGTCTCTGGTAACCAGCCATTTTCCCATCCCTCGGGGGTTATGGCTCCGTGGGTCTGCCAGCTCCTCTGTCCTTCACAGAAATCCAGCTGCCCATGAGTCATCTGTCAGCTATGAGAACGTTACTGTGAATTTCTCTCTCTCTACCTGCTTGTCGTGTTGCAGGGAGTCCACCTTCACCACCCTCCTGACCCAGACAATGGTGAGAACAAGGTGAAAACACGAGAAGCTGTGGGGGAGTTCATCGGGAACTTCCCAAGGGATCAGCCCAGAGAACAGACAGGGCTGGTATTTGGAGCAAGATGTGGCGTGATGGCGAGCCCACTGTTTGGCTCACACGGCACAGAACAGTCATGACTCCAAGGTAGAGCGGGCGAGTGAGCGAGCAAAGTGCACAGCCGGGCAGGATGCCAGGGTTCTGTGGGTCACACTCAGTTTTCTAGCTCTGTCAGGCCCATCAAGACATGAGGTGGCCCACTTCCGGCTGAGAAACAGGTCTCAGGGGTCGCCTTCCCCCTCCTCGACCCCAGCAGTTGTTTTTTTGTCTTTTACAGACCCTGGTGCTCTCTGAGCAAGGGAGAAGGTTTGCTGAGGAGTATATCATCCCCAGAGAGAAGAAAATAAAATCTCAAGAGACCAGAGCCCTTCGAACTAGAAAATGAGAGAGTGGGAAGGCATCTCGAGTGGGCCAGTGACAGTGACAGAAAGGATGGACAGTTCTCCCATGCGGGAAGTGGGCTCTGGGAGGGAAGGAGCAGCCAGGGTGAGACAGCAATGCAGGGGGTTATTTATAGAGGAAGGGTCCTGGCCTGGAGGAGTCAAGGCCCTCAGGCCTAGCTGAGTAGGGTGGGGGCTGTCTGGGGTGACCCTGAGTGGGGTGGGTGGGGCTAGGAAGGATGTACCCCACAGCTTTCTGCATCTACACGGAGGCCAGGCTACACATGGGCTTTGGCCCAGGAGGCAGGGAGGACTCTGGGAGCTGGAGGCCTGTTTGAGGCCAAAAAACAGAAGAGGGAAACAGAAAAGGAAGTTATCACCTGCTGAGAACTCCCCTCCCCGAGTCCACCGGACCTGGAATGGACCATGCTAACTTAAGAGGACCACCTTCTGTTATCTCCAACATGGGGGCATAGGGCGTAGATGGACAGAGTGGAGGGAGCAGGGGAAGGGGAGAGAAAGCCAGCTCCCCAAACCTAAGCCACACGTCTCCCCCATCCTTCTGTCATCTCTCCCCAGCCCTCCGGCTCCCCAGGAGTCCCTAGCGGCCCACACTGATGTTGCAGGTCTTGCAGCTGGGGTCTTTCTTGGCATCAGCAGTGGACAGGCTCATGAGCTGGTGCCCACTGATCTCTCCCAGGGTGCCTAGGGACAGGTCGACGGGCTCCGTGTAGATGATCTCCAGGATGAGGTCCTGAGCATGGCGGAAGATCAGCTCCCCATCCTCCACACTGCAGGTCAGGAACTTGTTGCAGGCAATGTCCAGGAGGGGCAGACGGTCACGGCAGAAGCGGTCCCCCAGGGAGCCTTTAGGTGCCAGGACCAGGATGGCATAGTGGTAGGCTGTGTACATACAGTAAAAGTCCGCAAAGTAGAGGTTGGTGCTGGGGTTGAAGAGGCGCTGGGCAGGGATCTGGAAGCGCCAGCGGCCGTAAGGGGAGTCCTGGGGAGGCTGGCCGGTGTTGAACTCCGTGTTGCAGCTGAAGAAGACACCATGCAGCATGCCACTGGTCGGGGAGCCGTGGCTACCGCTGTTGTCCTTCAGGTAAGGCTGCAGCACATTCCCACAGTGGGTCCTGCCCACCAGGGAGGAAGGCCAAAGAGAAGGGAAAATGCCACGGGTTAGCTCACTGGGGCTCGGCTGCAATATATAGTTGAGAAAAGAGTGAGCCAGCCCAACTCCCGGCATTCCGATTAGCTTGCAGCCTCCACTGGTCGCACGCATTAAGTCCTTTCCCACTGTCTCCCTGACCAGACTCTGAAGATAAGAGTAGCCACTGACTTAGTCTATGTGTCCCAGCCCCTAATAAGGAGCCTGGCAAGGTAGGTGTCCCTTATCGCTCTTTCATTCTTAAAAAATAAAACAGGAGCCTAAACAGGACTGTTGCCTCTTCTTGATTGCAAATACCAAAGACTCCAGTTCTTTACTGCTTTCTCGGGGAAAGGGGGGGAACGCCCTACCCTAGCTGCCAGTAATGATAAAGACAGTAACCGTGGCAGATTGCCCTGACCTAGCTTAGAAGGACATGGGCTTAAAGCAGTGTCAGCAGGCATGGGGGAGGGTGGACAAGCCCTGGTCCAGGAGCCTCACTCTTGACTGGTCCTGGCTGTCCTGAGAGACAAGTAACTTGCCTTGGTGCCTTGGCACCAAGAGGCTGAAGTACTAGATCTGGTCTGTCTGTCTGTCTGTCTCTGCCCCGCTCCCCACCCCCACCCTGTCTCTTCTCAAAAGAAAACATTGTACATATGGGCAAATAAGTTTGGGGCTACTCTGGTTGGACCATGGACTCTCCAAGCTCCATCCTTTGGCTTCTTCGTACCCAATTCTCATCAGTATCTTAAGAGATTTGCCCAAAAACGCTCTGGAGCCTCAGATTCCTTAGCACTCAACTTAAAAGCTAGCAAACTGAGATTCCCCAGAGCCTTCCGTGCTCAGGAGTCTTGTACTTTGCCTTCTTCTTGCCACCTCCCCTGTGCTTGGGGGGTCCTAAAAACAGAGAAATAACTGATAGTGTATAATAGACCCCATAAAGGAACTGTCCCAGAAGGCAGGGTCATGCCCAAAACTTATTACCCAAGCTTGCCTTACCAGCAGGGCCCTCTGCCAGGAAGCCCTACTTCAATGTCCTTGGTCCTTCCTTATTCCCAATCTCAAAGTAGCAGTACTTTTTTTTTTTTTTTCTTTTGAGACAGGGCCTTGTTACCCAGCTCATGCTGGCCCCAAACTTATAACTATACATTTGCCTCAGCATTCTGGAATGGAGGAAGAGCCGGGAAGGGAGAAGTCCTAGCGAGTCTGTCTTGCCCTACCTGGCATGCTGGAAGTACTCCTTGTGATGGTTGCGGTAGAACACAGAGAAGCGGAGCATGCGGCCAGCGATCTGCTCAGCCTTCTCCTGAAGCTGAGCCAGGTGTTCCTTGGCATAGTCTGTAAGGGTCCAGGCAGAGTGAGGTGAATGAGGGATCAGATGCAGACCAGAACTTCCTTCTCTCTGCACCACCCACCCACACCCGCAAGCAGCCTCCTCCTCTGGATTTACAGGGGAGCTTCTGAAAAAGCCTAGACTCAGATGGGGACAGGCCAGCTGGCCTTGGCTGAGAACGTAAAGAACTGCTTGGTTTCTGGTCTCCTCACTCTGTGTCAGCATTGCCAAGAGGCTCAGGGCCCTTTGAGTCCAGAAAGGATGGAGGACTTCCTGTTATGCTAGGGGCTCCAAGACTGTCATCCCAGGACACCCTTAGGTGAAAAAAGGGCTGGTAGGAAAAATAATGACTTGAGAGGGAGGATACAAGGGACTTTGGGGAGGGCCCTTCAAATCCAGGAGGTGAGAGCCTGCCCCACAACTGGTGGTGTGGTGGCTACCTGTGATTATAAGTGGGGGCTAATGATGAATCAAAGAACAGAGCCTGGACCTCCGGTGACTATCCAGGTAGAAGAGGGGCTGAGGCACTAGCTGTCTACTTGAGCCTCTCTGGGAGAAATAAAGGCTGATACTAGGGCATGAAAACTGTTCCCCCTAGCCCCCCAAGGCTGGGCCTGGGGTCTTAGGGGTTGAGGCAGATTCAGACAATGCCTTGGAACAAATCGGAGGACAGTGCCCTTTGCTTATTGCAGCCACTGTATTTGCGTGTGCTTCGTATCTGGAAAGAGAAGGTAGACCCAGCTACAGCATTTTCAGATCCCCCAATTTTAATTAAACACCCACTGCATATGCAGTGCTATGGGGTGGGGTAAGGCAGGGTGGGGCAGGCTCAGATACCTCTCCTACAAGGAGCAAAGAGCCTCTCTAGCAGAACTGTGGCAACTCAAGGAGACTAGGGGCACAGATTTTGGCAGAAGATGGAGTCAGCAGCCTTGGAGGCCCCAGGGCATGAAATGTCCTCTGCCCCTTGCTTGTGACAGAGAGCAATCTGGAGCAGATCTCTCATGGACACCAAAGGGATAGAATATTTTGGGGCAGCTCCTTGGCTATTGGTGACAAGCATACGCAAAGTGGCATTTGTTCTTGCTAGAATTTGTGAGTTAGGCTCTGCCTAAGAGGCCTTACAAGATCGTCAGACGGGGGCCATTTTCCAGGGAGAGGGGAGACTTAGGACAAACAAATATTGTTGTCTGACCAAATGACCACCGGTAGACTATAATGAACAAAACACAGTCTATCCAACACAATGGAATACTGCCTAACTGTAAGTGGGAAGAAAATTCAGGCAAATGATACAGCCTCTGTGTATATTACCGATAGTCTAGTAAAAGAAATAAGCCTGTCCGCCATAGGGCAAATACTTGATTTCACTCATATGAGCAATCTTACACAGTCAAAGAACATAAAGACAGAAAGGACAGAGGTAGGCACGGCCCAGAGGAGAGAACATGAGAAGCGGTGGCTCCAAGGGTAGACATTCTGGCCACACAATAACAACATAAAACTCCTTAAGACTTCTGTTCACAGAAATGGTTCGGATGGTCAGTTTTATGTTACATCTATTTACCGTAATTACAAATTTATATTCTCGAGGCTCAAGAGGTAGCTTAGCAGTTAGGAGCACTTGCTGTTCTTACAGAGGACTGGAGCCCAATTCCCACCACAGTGTGGGATAGCTCCCAACCACCTGTAACTCTAGCTCCAGGGAATCCAACACTCTCTTCTGGCATCCGAGGACGCTCAAACGTATGTGTGTGTGTGTGTGCGTGCACACACAGAGACACATGTATCCATAAACAAAAATAAATTATCTCTTAAAGTATATACGTATATAATTTTTCCCTTGACCCAAGCCAGAAAAGTAGTTCCAACCCTTCATGCAGGTGGTATTGCCAATGGGTAGTATATCTGTCTAGGCACGCTCTGTGTCATCCATCTGGCCTAAACATAGCACCTCAATTGCAGCAGGTGTTTCTGAGTATGCTGGGCTAGGATGAAGAGTCCCTGTAGGGTATTAATACAACGTCAGGGCCTCACCCCCAGTGCAGAACTCCACTGTCTCACTCCAGCCAGACACCAGGTATTCCCCGTCGCTCTGCTTCACCGCTGTCTGCACAGCCACACTGTATTCTGTCCGGGGACTCAGGAACCAGTGGCCTCTCACTGTCATGGGCAGAGGCACTGCCTTGGCCACGAGCTTGGTGGGGACATCCTGAGAAGTGGGTTACAGACGAAGAACCAAGCATCAGTCTTGGAGTCACACCCAATCCTGGCATTATTCCAGAATTCCCACTCCCCGCCAGCGCCTCTCCTCTTCCTCTCAAGGAGGGTCAGAGTTCCAGAGATTCAACAGCTCCGTGTCCCAGCCACCATTTCCCTGAGAAGCAAGCGGTGCCGTGGGGCAACCTCCTTCAAACCCCCCCTCCCCGATGTCCCTTTTTCTTGAGAACTAATGGGAAAGGCCACTTGGGAGGAGAGCCCCAAAGTTGAAGGTGGCAAGACCGTCGTTTTTGAGGGAGACTTCGAGAAATCTGCACACTGCAGTGCCGTCTCCACGGCAACAGCAAATGCTGGGAAGCCAGGGAGGAAGAGAAAAATATGCCTTATTCTTTGGAGGGAGGGCCAAGGGGGTGGTGTTGAACATTCACGTCACCGTGGCAACTGGCCTGCCAAAAGACACCCAGATCTGGGGAGCCAGATACAGAGAGAGAGACACACACACACACACAGAGAGAGAGAGAGAGAGAGAGAGAGAGAGAGAGAGAGCCCACACCAAGGCTGTCACCCTGGTGTCACTGAGCCAGCTCCTTCGCACTGAACTCTCTCCTGCCTCTGCATGCAGCTGGAGAAGATGAGAGGTCTCCTCCTACCTGCTCCTATGCTGGCTTTTGGCTTTTAAACTGGGGAAAGGACACGCTGAAGACAGCCTTCCTATGTGTCTTTTCTACACCAAGGAAACAGACTAGTGGACAGGGAGGGAGCAGAGAATATCTAGGATTGTGTATAGCACCATATACCCAACTAAAGGGGGTTTATGTTGCCTGCCCAACCACTACTCCTGGACCTTATTGGGATTTTGGAACATTATCTGGACATGTGAAGTTTTGGGCTCTGCCCCACTCACCCACCCAGGTGCTCTGCTCTTGTCTGAAGTTCTAGCCTTGGAGGGAATAACTGCACTGGAACTGAGCTAGGCATTGGACCAAACAGCATGAAAACATCTCTCATGGAATCTTTTCAACATCTCTACAAACGGTGGTGTGATCATTCTATGTTTATCAAGGAAGACACTGAGGCTCAGAAAGGTCAGATCACTTTGGCAGAATGACCCCGTGAGAAGAATCTGGATTTTGGCCAGGTATCTGGCTCTTCCCTGTCTGTCTAGCGAGTCCATCAATTTGCTTCCTTGTAGAATAGGGGTTGAAGAGCGGAACCAGGACATCTTTTACTCACCCGGTGCTTGAACTTGTTGGAATTCTTGTTTTCCTTCTTGTTGAGGTCAATGAAATAATGGGTGACCCTCTCCAGGTCACTGTCTTCCATGGCCCAGGAGATACGGAAAGAGTCACAGGTGATATTGTTGATCTCAATGCTGTGGGGGGTGGACAGCAGCTCCATGTTCCCCTCTGGTTTGCCTCCTGTGGGGAGTGAGGGCCAGAGGAAAGATTAGCACCTCCCTCCCATCACAGAACTTTCTGGAATGTGCTGCTCCCATCATGCTTTGTGGGGTGGAGTCTTACATACCCATCAAATGCCCCTGCCTCATAAATGTGGCATAAAAGATCATAAGGGGACTAGACTGGATAGAAGGGACCCAAGTTGAGATGGAGGGAGCTCTTGGCTCTCCTTAAGAGGGTCCACAGAGCAGCCGGTCCCTGACAGGTGGCAGAAGCAGTGGGAATGCTGCAAACACTGGGCAGAGGGACAGATTTGCAGCAGATGGAGCTGAGGAGGGAGGGGCCCTCAGCCAGCAGGCGTGAAAAGAGAAAGGGTGGGAGTGGAGAGGATGGGGAGCAGGAGGAATGACGGAAGCACCTGCTGAGGGGATGGTGCCTGAGGATTTAGGCAGGTGGCAGGTCGGGGCAGCCAAGAGTCCACAGGTGCCAAAGCCCTGGGTCTCAGGCCTCTCTCCTCCCTGGAAGTGATTGAAGCAGTGAGGGACCCTGCTGTGCAGGCCTAGAGGGACAAATGCTATGGCTGTGTTTGTGGGAGGGGTGGGGGGGGTGAGCCACAGCCTGCTTTAAGCTCTTTCTGCCTATTACTTTGACATGCAGTTTCTGTTTTCACGGATTTCATTCGACTTTTCTTTTTTCCTTTCCTTTATGTCTTTCTTCTCTTCTTTTCTAAAATGCTTGCAGCCCAGGCTTCAAACTCACTATCCTCTTGCCTCCGCCTCCCAAGTGCTGAGATTACAGATGTGTGCCCATTTCGAGAAAAGAATTGGGTTTTCGGGCAGGGCTCAGTGGTACACGCCTGTAATCTCAGCACTCTCGGAGGCAGAGGCAGAGGCAGGTGGGTCTCTCTGTGAGTTTGAGACCAGCCAGGTCTACAAAGCGAGTCCAGGACAGCCAAGGCTATAAAAAAAAAAAAAAAAAAAAAAAAAAAACAAAAAACCCTGTCCTGAAAAGAAAACAAAACAAAACAAACAACAACAAAAACCAAAACAAAACAATTGCTTTTGGTATATATATTTTTTGAGGAGGTGTGTGGTATCAGGTTTGAGACAAGGTTTCTCTGTGTAGCCCTGGTTGTCCTGAAATTCAATCTGTAGACTTCTGCCTCTGGGTGCCACTGCCTGACCATTTTTGGTTTTTGGGGTTTTTGTTTGTTTGTTTGTTTTTGGTTTTTTTTAAGGCAAGTTTCCTCTGTGTAGCTGTCCTGGAACTCTGTAGACGAGGCTGGCCTCCAACTCAGAGATCAGCCTCTGCCTCCCGTGCTGGGATTAAAGGCGTGCACCACCACACTTGGCTTAAAGAATTACTTTCAGCACCAACATCTGTTGGGCTCCACCACAAACTAATGCCATCTCACACAAGTCTGGCGGTGTATAGGTACTGTTATTCTCCTTATTTTGTTTTACAGACAGGAAACCAAAGTTGGGGATGCTGCCATGTCCAAGGCCACATGCCAGCAAATTACTTACTCTCTGGAGGCAGAGCTCCTATTATGCGCTAAGGTTGTATGTGAGTGCATGCGCAGTGTGTACATGATATCCGACTATGTTCCCCTTGTTTATTTTTCTCTTCTTTCTATCAGTGATTTTTCAAGAGACTGAATTTCCCCCTGCCTCCTACTCCCATTCCTTCAGCTCTACCCTGACTTGGTGCCCTTTGGGCTTGAAAGGACTACGCCATTATTTCTCTTGACGGTGCGTAACTGGGCTAGGGTTAGCTGGTCTTCTCTAGAGCCCGGTTCTCCCAGGAATTGGGAGCTTAGGGGAGACACACAGCTGGGAGTGGACTGGCTCGGGGGGGGGGTCATTTTGGCTTCTCCTTTCCGACTCATCACCCAGCAGATCTCCTGGCACCCGCTTCTCTGCTCTCTTCTTTCCTTTTCCTTTCCTCCCCTTGCCTAGGAGCTAGGGTGAGGGCACCTTGTGCCTGCAAAATCAGGTACTTTTATTTATAGCTCCCAGAAAATCCAACCCACATTTTTCTGTCAATTAAGCCAGCTCCAGTGCCTAGCACCACTAAATTAAAACCGTGGACTGCCTGGGTGGCAGGTGTGGGAAGGGGTGAGGGTTTGGCTGACGGCCTTATCTGCCCAGGTGTTCCTCAAAGTCCAGTATTTGGTTTCCCACCCTCCGGCCAAAGGAAATCTATGGTCAGTAATCATGGGAATGCTACCAGGTGCTTTCTAAAAAGAGACAAACGGGAGAGGGTATCCTAATATTAACATCCATAATACGGGGAAGAGCTGTGGAGCAGCAAGACTTAGCAACACCCTGGATACTGACAAGAAGCTTCTGAGGGAGCTTTTTGCACCCACGAACACGAACACACACTCCCACTTGAGCAGGACTTGAGCGGGTTCCACCCACACGTGACCCAGCCTATACCTGCCCCTACCAGACACCTGTCCCTGCCTTCATTCCCTCCTCACTCCTGAATCTTCCTAGAGGCCAGGGCAGCTCCCGGTGGTGGGCGGAGACTCCAGGCCAGGTGCTTGCTCACCCCCCCTCTTGTCTCCCTTTCTGGGAGAGCTGCTCCCCACCCTAGCCTAAGGTCTGGGAGAGTGGGAGCAACCGACACCGCAAGGGCAGCCAGCCAGCACGGACGAAGGGTGGGTGTCAGCCACCCAGATGCCTAGGGAAGGGCAGTCTGTGAGGGACAGGTTGAGGCAACACTCTAGGAACACCCACACTCCCATGTGAATCCACCCTAAGCAAGCATGCACCCCCCCCCACGCAGACAGGCGTGCACCCACACACACATGCGCAAGGGGTGCCCACATACCTCTCTGCATGAGCCTCCATAGACATCCTCATCCATACTCACCCACGCATAGATCTAACTCCCCTCCGCCGTGCACGTTCTAAGAATGCCCCGGTATTTCCCCTTCGAAAGCTGTTGCCTTCATGCCAACCCACACATGTTCATGTCCACAGGCTCACACATACCCGCATACACGTGCCCCTCCTCATCATCACAGACCATATTTGGGGGAAGAGAGGAAGCCACGGGCACCAACGCATATGCACGCTGCCTTTCCCAAGAAGGCAAGCAGCCCCCATGGCTGCCTGTGCACGCATGAACATTTGAGCACACGTCAATCGTTGCCTGGATTCTGGTAGTCCCCATGGAGCCTTTGTAGGTTCCAAGAGAGAGACTTTGAAAACACGGGGTCAGCCCGATTCTTTACTGGTCAACAGGTCTGCACATCTCCTCAAGTCTGCCCACACGCAGGTCTGCGCCTACACTTACCCACCTCCTCCTGCCCTGAAGTTGCCCCTCCCCGCCTAGAAACAGCCTGGTTGCTACAGTACACCCTCAACATGTACTCCCACCCACAGGACAAGTGACATGTCCACCCCCTAAAAATACTGCCTCTTGGGGCCCCTGCCACATATACCCACGGGCTACTCAGATGAACGCTGCTGCCCCCGCACACATGTACCTCCCGGAGAAAAAATGTTCTGAAACATGCCACAACCCGGTCACAAGCCCCAAAGGAACCTAACTGCGTGGAGACAGACCCATCTACGCAAGCTAGCCTCCAGCCTCCTCCCAACCGTGCAGACACGTTCTACACACTCCGGCCCCTTCCCCAAAGCCCGATTTGAAAAGCTACTGACAAACCAGAGGGAAAGCTCCCCCACCCAGCTGAACCTTTTTGGCATCGCAGACTGCGCAGAATGGTCACGGGGTAACTAACTATGTCGCCCCGGAGACCAGGGAGACCAGATACAGCTGTTAAGCTCGTCGCCAAGGACTTAGGGGAAAGGGGACAAGGTCGCCAGGCCTGGCAACCCAAGTGGACAGCCAGGACAGTTGAGGAACCCTGGTGGCCACAGCTCTTAACCTCCCAGGATAGGCAGGATGGTTTGGGGGGAGAAGGGCACTTACCTGGCTTCAGCCGGCCCTGCAGAGGGATACTTGGAAGAGCAGGAAGGGCGAGACCTCTATGTGGATAATGAGCTCCCCAGGCAGGGGACAGCAGCCTGTCGCCTGGGTCACAGGCAGCGGGGCTCGCTCGCTCCTCTCTGGGCTACCGAGAAGGCTGCTTCCATGCCCCACAGGCAGCGCTTGTCTAGCTCTGCAGCTAACGCTACTGCCCCCGGCGAGAAAACAACGTTTCTCGCAACCCAGCGAGTGAGCGCACAAGAAGAGAGGCAGGAGCGAAATCAAAGCAGCGTGGAGGAGAGAGACAGAGAAATCGAGAAGGAACGGGAGAGCCAGACCGAATCTGGCTCCACCAATGGGATCAGTGGCTGCTCAGCGTCAGGTGATAACAAGCAAGCTTGGTCCCTGCTCGTCCAGGCTTGTGGGAGGGGGAAAGGGCAGAGGGTCCCCGGGGAGCTAGACAGATGTCCTTGGAGGCAGCAGCTGTGGCTTCTGCCACCTTTCCCCCATCCTTCCAGGACAAGATGCGTCTGGAAGCCGGTCCAACACACCCCCTGCTTGGAAATCTCGGGCTTGAATTCAGCCCCCAAACTTTAAGGTGCGGGGAGAGGGGTGGAGCTTAAGGGTTCTGGAGGCTGGGTAAGGGAAGGGTCTCAAAGAAGCGGCTGAGCTGGGGTCGGAGGGACCTTACCCTCAGTCTAGGTGGTCTCCTAGGGGACCTTCACTGACGCACAGCTCCATTTTCTTACCAACTCTTCCAAGAGAAACCAGCCCCGCAGCCTTGGATAGTCTGGAGTGTCCGGGGAGAATCTTCTAGCGCTTAAGTGTCCCCAGGAAAGGGAGTGGGAGAGAGGCGGTGTAAAATAGGGAGGGATGTACAAAGGCAAGAATGTGGGGGGTGGGGGGGTGGAAGGCTACACAGAGCGTTGAGTGTTCTCATCCTAACCACCTTCCAGGCTTGAGGCCATCAAAGCCCTGAGACTGCAGTCAGAGTTGACTATCAGCAGGAGGCTTGTCTAATCACCAAGAAACTGAGGGTGGCTGGGACTCCCCAAAAGAACACTCAAGGAAATGTGATCAAAGCAACAGTGACCCAGAGTTGCTACGATGATGAAAAGCATAGGTTTTGTAGTCCGAAGGGAATAGGAACGATGTCGGCTGCATGATTTTCTAGCTGCCTGACCCGGGACTAGCGACTCTATCTCACTTGTGAAGTGTGATAATACAGGTTTATTGTTATCATGGAATGAGATCATTATGTAAGTCACTTAGCTCTGGGCTTGGCACCTGAGAAATGTCAGTCAACCAGTCAGAGTTGCTATCTTTCTCATTGTCCATGGAAGTATCTGCCCTGCAAAGAGCCTACAGTTTTCTAGGGGTAGGAGAGACATTTAGAGAGTAAGGAGCCTCTCCGCCCTTCTGCATCTTCTGGTACAACCAATGATCAAAAATATGTTTTTAGGGACTGGAGAGATGGTTCAGAAGTTAAGAGCATTTGCAAAGAATCCAAGTTCTAGTCCCAGCTCACAACCATCTGTAACTCCAGTTCCAGGAGCCTCCCACGGCTCTCTTCTGGCCTCTTCTGACACTGTTTACATGCGGTTGTTAGGTCTGTATCGTCCAAGACTAAAGCATTCCGTCCTATAGAGAAGCTACTTAAGCAGGAAGGTAAACAACTCAAATCATATTCAGGAAGTCCCTGAAACTGACCAGATTCACTAGGTGCCGGCTTTGCCAGAGTAAATAATACAAGTTTAGATTCTCTCTCAGAGAAATGAGGCCGAGCTGCCAAAAAGATTCTCAGACAAACCCGAAGCACTCTGAAACCTGGAAAAAGCAGAAACCAAATGAGCTCCTGCCTAGAGGTTTAGACCAACAGAAGAACCTGTGAAGGGCACTCTCCAACCTGTGCTTTCTGTTGTGGTGGGCTTTTGTGATGCAGCTGTCTTTGAGGCATCTTTGCTACTCTAAGGAACCCCTCACCCATGTTGCTGTAAGTAACCCCAATAAAACTCATTGGTTCCGTACTTTGGTCTGTCATGGGCTTCCTGTCTGGGGTAAGTGGATGTGTGTGTTTTATCTTCCCAGGAAAAGTTTTGTCACACAACACGTGCATTGACATACATGCAGGCAAAACACCCATACACAGACACACACACACTAAAATAAAATTTAAAACTTTTTTTTTTTTCCTCCAATGGATTGGTGGTGGTACCCATCTGTAATCCCAGCCCTTGGGAGGCAAGAGGCAGGCAGATCTCTGAGTTCAAGGCCAGCCTAGTCTACAGGGTGAGTTCCTGGACAGCCAGGGATAAAAAGAGAAACACTGTCTTGAAAACAAACAAACAACAACCACAAACCCTTTATTTATTTATTTTTTTTTTCTGTATTGAATTTGTGGCAATGGGGATTTTGATCAGTTGGTAGAGGATTTGCCCAGAATGCACAAAGCTCACTCCAGGAGTGGCAATTCATCCTTGAAATCCATGCCTTGTGAGGCAGATGCAGAGGGGGATCAAGAAATTCAAGATCTTCCTTAATTACATTGTGACTTTGAGGCCAGCCTGAGCTACATAAAATTTAATTTAATTGTGTTTGTATTGAACATACACAGACCTTTATTTTTACTTCTTAAACCTCACATAGTATTTAGATTGCATTAGTTAGAAGTAAATTACAGAGGAAGCACACAAGTTGCATATAAATTCCTTGCTTTTTTTTTTTTAATGTAAAGTACTTGAACATCCTCTGGTTTTGGTATCTGTGGAGATGTCGGAACCAATCCTGTCAATGCTTAGAGATGGTGTCCAGCTAAGTTCTGGACACAGAGAGAGAGAGATTCAGAGCAAGAAGAGAGGCCAGCACCCGCAGAGGAGATGGCAAATGGGGTGGTGGGGTGGAAAGGGGATGATGGGGAACAGCAGATACCACTTGACACCGGCGTGAGGACCACAGAAGGCATGTACTGAGCATCAAGGGTTTGGGGGTGTCTGTGGATATTGTCAGGAAGCGTCAGCGAAGGTGACAGTGATAGAATGAAGAGTCCACAGGACTCAAAACCAAGAAGAAGTCAGGCCTGCCCTAAATGGGCGTGAGAAGCTGAGCGAGTCTGGTCAGATCTCGTACCACAGAAAGTGGAGTGGTGTGTCACACGGGCAGGATTAAGCATCCCTTTGGCCAAACACAAGGCCCTGCCCCTCGCACACCCACATCGAGGTGTTGAAATTCAGAAGAGGTCTGAGACATCACCGCCCAGTGAGGGACAGTTTCACCCGTCTAGCCTAAAACCCTTAAGGCCAACCTGAAGGGTGGCAAGGGGGAAAAGAAAGAGCCTCTATGGCTCTGTTTCTCTTCCTGTAAAAGGAAGAGAGTCCTGAACCATCAGGGCCTCTCACCCTTTCAAGATGGCACTTGAAGTCTACCTGAGATCATGAGCCTTGGTGGTGGTGAGTAGTAGGCTCACGAATGAATGACCCTTTGTGCAGCTGTGTGCCCGTGAGCCAGAGGAGCAGGTGAGGACGCAGCCCTCTGTGGCTCATGCCTCTTCTTGCCTCAAAGGACTCCTCTCAAAAACAGGAGGGAAACTCATGGTCAGAACAAAGCCAAGCCAAGTGTAACTAGCTAATATAGGAAACCTATCAAACAACCAAATGGATGCATTGTTATGTTGGTTTTGCTTGGCTTCTTCTTATTTTAGACAGGATTTAAATATGAAGCCATGGCTGAGCCCAGAACTCATTATATAGACCTTGACCTCACAGAGATCGGCCTGCCTCTGCTTCCAGGGTGTTGGGATTTAAGACATGTGTCACCATGCCTAGCCAGCTAATGTTAGTTTAGTAATTTTTTTTTCTTACAGAAACCACATGTGGTCGCTTTAGAAAGATGTGGGCACTTTATTGTAAAACTTAAGAGGAAATGAAAATCGCTAGTTTCCCCACCTTTCAGATGAAGTATGTGATATGTGCACATGGTTTATTACCAAAAGTAGAAGGATTATAACCTGCTTTTCTGAAGTAGCAATACCCATTTATTTATGATAAATGATATCTAAGTTTCTATTTTATACCCAGTTGTCAGGTCCCTTTTGGAACCAGTCCTCTCCTCACTTGATATTTCTCTTTCTCCGTCTCATTCTAAACAACACTGCAGTAAACATGCTTACAGCAAAATTTCTTCTCATGCCTTAATTGCACTTTTAAGAAATACGAAAGCTTAAGTATACTATCAAAATACAGATTTTAACAAACTTTTTTTTTTTTTTTTTGTAAAAAAGATCAGCCAGCTGTGATGGCTCACATCGCCAGCACTTAGGAGACTGAGACAGAAGAATTACCTTGAGTTCCAGACCAGCCTGGGTTACAGACTGAGGTCCCTTAAAAAAAAAAAAAAAAGTCAGAACCAAACCAAAGCAAACAAAACAAAAATAGCACCCAAACAAAACAACCCAATTATTTGATAATTGAAGGATTTATTTATTATTTATAAATTGAAGAGTTATTTATTGTTTATACAGCCTGCATGTGCCTGTGCACCAGAAGAGGGCACCAGATCTCACTATAGATGGTCATGAACCACCTTGTGGATGCTGGGAATTGAACTCCGGACCTTTGGAAGAACAGCTAGTGCTCTCAACCTCTGAGAAATCTCTCTGGACCCTTTCTTTCTTTCTTTCTTTCTTTCTTTCTTTCTTTCTTTCTTTCTTTCTTTCTTTCTTTCTTTCTTTCTTTCTCTCTTTCTCTCTCTCTTTCTTTCTTTTGAGAAAGGGTTTCTCTGTGTAGCCCTGGCTGTCCTGGAACTCATTCTGTAGCCCAGGCTCACCTCAAACTTGATCTGCCTGCCTCTGCTTCCCTGGGATCAAAGGCATATGCCACCACTGCCTGGCTAAAGCCCTTATTCTTTAGAAACATGTATTGTAATGTTTATAAATTAATAACATAATATATATGATTTGTTTTAAAATGGTCTTGGTGGGTGGCGACCGAGATAAAACAAGAGTGAATAATTACTATTAAGCCTGGGTCCTTGGAGATCAAATGAGCTATTTTTTTTCTACTGTGTACATTGTTGGAAGTTTCCACATTAAATGTTACACCCAAGCCAAGACTGCAACAATAACAAAGGCACTTATTAAGCACCACTACGGTGCCAGACACGTGATTCGGAAGGCAGAAGAC